CCCTCCCTGGTGGGAAAAGGACACATCTCAGTGTGATGTTCCCAGCTCGGGCTGCAGCTCAGAGGGTGGATCCTCTCATTTTCCCCACCAATGACCCTTCACCCTCTCACTCTCTTGGCTTCTACAGGGGGGAAGGGATGCTGAGGGTCCAGCAGGCATTTGGGTGCTTTCCCTCAAAACCAGCTTGCCAGCATTCCCGGAGATCCAGTGGGTTGATTTCCCATTTCCCTCCTCTGCGGCAGTTCAGCTGTTTGTGGCATTCCTCATCCTCCCCATGCTCCTGGCTCCCCTCCTGCCGTCCCCATCTCCATGTGCCAGATTGCTGCTGGGGGAGCTTGGGAAGCAGCAGGGCCTCAGGCTCCAGCCACCCTTTTGGGCTGAGATCAGAGGTTTTGTGGTTTTTCACACTGCGAACGGAGCAGGGGCTGCCCAGGCACAGCGCAGGAGGGCTGGGATAGGGGAGCTCCCACAGCCACACAGAAAGGCAGGAAGAGAATCACTCCAGTGCAAGATTCACCCCATATCCAAAGTGGGGGAGCTGGAGGGGCAGCACAGCTCACACTAAGCCTGGATTTAGGATGGATCAGTTTGCTGGCAGCTGACTCCTCTATAATTAGACGGCAGCAGTGGAACAGGAGCCAGCTCGGGGAGCAGAGCTCCAACATCTCCCCGTGCACAGGCACGCCATTCCACATGAGCCCCGGATGTGTAAACAGCCGCAGGAGGGATGAGCTGTGTCTCCTCACCGAGGGGGACGCAAGGAATGCAAAGTGCTGCCTTTCCTGCAGGCCCTCAGGCTGCCCCCGAGGAGAAGATGTGGCCCCAGCGGATGATTCCCGCTGGGATGCAGGCTGGATGGCTCAGCAGCATCTTGTCCCACATCACTCCTGGGGCTGGAAGGAGCCACAGCCCTGCCTGGCTTCAGGCCCTGCAGGCTGGGAGCCCACACGTGCCTGGTGCCCCTGGCCTGTGGCTCCCGAGCTGTGTCCCAGCTCCTGTGTGAGCTGGGGAACTCTGTGTCTGCTTGCCAAGGTGCCACAGCTCTGGGCTGTGCCATCTTCCCACCTCTGCCATCATCTCACTCGGGAGCTGAGAGAGGGAAAAGGGACGGCTGGCAGTTGTGTGGGAGGCTCCAGGCTTTTATCTTGGATGTGGTTTCCAACAGATGTGGAGTGAGCAACATCTGTAAGGCAACAGCTCAGCTTCGCTGCGCCAAGATTAAAGGATTTAATAATCTGCTGGCAAGATGTAATTGAAAAAGGCAGAGCTCTGGCTGTGCAGCACTCAGCTGAGGCACCAGGGCATTCCCACGCTCCCAAGATCCCTCCAAACCTTCTGGCAAGCACAACAAATCCCATTGTGTGTGGGGCAGGCCCTGTTCTCCACGGATGCAGGGACTAACACTTCATCTTCCTTCACAGGTAACTATTGATTTGTCAGTAACGAGCTGCCAGGGAGCTTTTCACTCTGTACCTTGAGCTGCTCCAGAAAGGATAAGGAACTCAAAGTGGCACTGCCTCTGTGCTGGATACATGTGGATGTGGGAATAGGGGGTAGTGGTGGGAACTGTTGGATTTGATGGTCTCAAGGGCTTTTCCAACACCAGTGATTCCATGATCCTGTGACTCCAGGTATGTGGTGTGTCTGGGTACTGAGGGGAGCAGAGCTGCCCTTGCTGGAGGTCAAAGCCTCATTCAGCAGCAGTGGAGATCCATCCATCCATCCATCCATCCATCCATCCATCCATCCATCCATCCATCCACCACCACTCCTCAGCCCCTTGTTCCATCCCTGCTTCACTCCCTGGTTCCCAGCTGCAGGAAACAAGGCTGTGACTGGCTCTGCAAAGCACTGACAGCAATGCTGGGCTTCTTCCCCCACTGGGGGAACCAGGACCCAGCACAAGCAAGTGATGCCACAGGGCAGGGATTTTTGGCTGAAGACACCAGGGCTGAAGCTCTGGAGGGGGAAGGCTGTCCTGGAGGGGCAGAGGCACGGGAAGACTGAGATCCCCAGGCATTACAGCTGGGAAGGAGCCCCTGGAGGTACCCTGGGCAGGGAGCTCCTGGATGATCCAGGAGAGCTGGCAGAGCCCAGCTGAGTGCCCCATGCTGGCCAAGCTGAGGTGACTGTGCAGAAATCAGAGACGTGCCCGGCCCACAGAGCTGCTGCCAAAGGCACTGGGCTCTGTGTGCCCTTTGTGTCCTCCCTGTCACCTGGAAGTGCTGACTGAGTCCTTCTCCTCCCAGCAGGCTGGATGGAACAGAAACCAGGGGAAGTCCCTGTTTCAGGAACAGGAAGCTGCCTTTCTTGTTCCCCTCACATACTCTCTGTCCACAGAGGGGTGAGGGAAGGAGGTGAAATCCAAGGTGGTGAGAGGCTGACCCTGCTGCCAGCAGTGCTAGGAGCTGCTCCAAACACCAGCCTGTCCTGCCACTGCCCAAACAGCCTTGGCAGGAGGCACTTGGTGTGGCTGTGTGGGTCAGCAGCAGGCAGGAGGGTGGCTGGGTGAGACCCAGCATCATATTTGCAAAAGAGAAAATCTGTGTGGGGGACCCTTCTCGCTGCGCTGTCATTTCTTCTGCTGAGCAATTCAACATTCTGACAAAGGTTATTTCTTACATTGATCTTTCCTGGGGCATCTCAAAAAATTCATCAGAGCTGAGGGGGCTCAGCCTGGAGAAAAGGAGGCTCAGGGGGGACCTTGTGGCTCTGCACAACTCCCTGACAGGAGGGGACAGCCAGGGGAGGCCGGGCTCTGCTCCCAGGGAACAGGGACAGGACAAGGGGAAATGGCCTCAGGCTGGGCCAGGGCAGGCTCAGGGTGGACACCAGGAGGAATTTCCCCATGGAAAGGGTGCTCAGGCCTTGGCAGGGGCTGCCCAGGGAGGTTTGGAGTGCCCATCCCTGGACGTGTCACCTGGATGTGGCACTGAGTGCCCTGGGCTGGGGACAAGGTGAGGACTGGGCACAGCTTGGCCCCAATGATCCTGGAGGTCTTTTCCAACCTGAAGGATTCTGTGATTCTGTGTATTTATTTGAGTTCTCTTGCCCTGATGATGACATAAATAAAAAAACAAAAAGCCAGAGGGGTGTCTGGAGTTCAGAGCTCCTGCTCTGGTGTCTGGGGTGCTTGGAGCACAGAACAAGCTGTGGACACCCCTGCTAAGAGGACAACATTGTATGGCAGCAGGTGGAGCAAATTCAAACTTTTCAGTTCCTCAGACTCTGCCCTGAGCATCTGGGGCTGTTTAACAGCTCCCTTGGGGCTCTTGTCCTTACACAAGTTTGGGTTGCAGACACTCCTGAAGTATGGGGGAGCTGGAGGTGTCCTGGGGCTGGGAGGGTCTGTGCCCTGTGAGAGCTTATCCTTCAAGGAATGGTGGTCCCAGAACCTCCTCAGATGGCCTGGCCTGTGCCCATGCCTGGCAGCAGAGCCCCCAGCCCTGCCTTGGCTGGGGGAGGAGCTGGAGAACACAGAGCAGCTTGTTCCCAGTGCCTCTGGGATGACAAAGGCCCTTCCATCCCCACAGCACCATGGGCTGGGCCCTGCTCTGTGAGGCTGTGAGGGAGTAACCAGCAAGCCCAGCTCTGCTCTGCTCCTCTTGCACAACTGGCTGGTGATTCACAGCTCTCCAGCAGTGGTGTTGCAATTCCTGCTGCTCAGCTGTCCCTGCAAAACCCGGGAAGAGGCTGCCAGGTCCTGCTGGCTCTCCCTTTACACCTCATTAGTCCTAATTTGGTAATTTTTCCTCATCACAGATCAGTGTCCTCTGGGGATCAGGACAGAAGATCCTGGGAAGGATACAGGGGAGAGAGCTGTGGGAGCTGTTCCACCTCTGCCTGGACACCTCCAAATCTCCCAGTCCTGCAGAGATGGTTCCCTGACTGAGCCACCAAGACCAAAGCTGTCTTTGTCCTTGGCCAAGCATCTCCTGAGGGATGGCTTTCCTCATGGGATAACATTTAACAATTTGACAAAAAGGGCCAGACTTACACAGCAGACAGAAAACACTTTGTCTTGCTTGCAGAGGGTGAGGGATGGCTTTCCTCATGGGATAACATTTAACAATTTGACACAAGGACCAGACTTACACAGCAGACAGAGAACACTTTGTCTTGCTTGCAGAGGCATATGTGAGATTCTTAGGAGGAAATTCTTTTTGGAAAGGGTGGTCAGGCATTGGAAGGGGCTGCCCAAGGAAGTTTGGAGTGCTCATCCCTGGAGGTGTCCAAGGAAGGCCTGGATGTGGCACTGAGTGCTCTGTGCTGGTGACAAGGTGGGCATTGGGCACAGCTTGGATTGGAAGGTCTGGGAGGGCTTTTCCAGCCTCAGGGATTCTGAGATTCTGTGTGGCACCACATCCTCACCGGGATCCCAAAGATAACCTTCCTTGAAGTGATGAAGTCCATGAGCAAGCTGGCTAGGACAAAAGGTCCTTGCAAACAGAGTGTGAACCTCCAGAGCTGACAAACCTCCCAGGAGTGCCTGGAGCCCCCTGGAGCGTGGTTCCCAGCCTGGCTCAGTGGCAGTGCCTGTGCCACAGAGCTCCCCACGGGCACTGGAGCTCTCCCCTTCCCTCTGCTCAGTCACAGAGGAAATGTTTGTGCGGCGCCCTTACACTGCTGGAGCAAAGAGCTAAAAATAACCCCGTGCCGTGGCTCCTGCGTGTGCTGTGTCAGCGCCGCAGCGCAGCCGCTGCCGGGGCTCAGGGGACAGGGACAGAGGCCAGGGCCCCACTGCCTGCACACCCAGCAGGGTGGGAAACCAAAACAACAAACACAGCCGGCCCTGTGTCAGAGCTGGGCCTGGGAGGGACATGACCTGTAGGGAAACTTTCGGGCACTGCCCTGGCCCTGCTGCCACCACCCAGGAGCCAGTGGCCTCTGGCACACCTGGGCTGGTGTCCAGCTGCTGGCACAGCACCCCCAGGGCCTTTTCCAGCCTTCAATCCCCTCTGCCCCCACATGACTTAACTCATCCCGCAAACAATGGGAAATTACAGACAGCAGAATATGTAATTATGACAGCAAATTGCAGTTGGCAGTGTGCTGGATCACACCATTGGGCAGCTCAGGATTCAACGTGAGAGGAGAACTGGGTCTGTGCAAAACCTGTGACGGGGCATTTGCAGCGTTTCCAGTGCCTTCAGTGCTGGTGCCACAGCCTGGCTCTTGCAAGAAAGTTTTCTTCCCTGTGTGGGAGGAGCAGGAGCTGTGAGGGAATTCCCCATGTCCAACTTGCCACCTGGAAATCCCCCAGTCCTGGGCTGAAACCCCCAGAGTGGGCAGCAGGAAAGGGGGATTCGTCTTCTCTGTCCCTGTGCCCAGGTGAGAGCCCACCTGCCCCAGCCCTGGGGATTCCAACAGCACAAGGACCTGGAGCTGCTGAGAGAGCCCAGAGGAGACCCCAGAGCTGCTGCAGGGCTGGAGCCAGGCTGGGAGAGCTGGGGGGGCTCACCTGGAGAGGAGAAGGATCCAGGGAGAGCTCAGAGCCCCTGGCAGGGCCTGGAGGGGCTCCAGGAGAGCTGCAGAGGGACTGGGGACAAGGATGGAGGGACAGGAGCCAGGGAATGGCTCCCACTGCCAGAGGGCAGGGCTGGATGGGAGATTGGGAATTGGGAATTGTTCCCCGGCAGGGTGGGCAGCCCTGGCACTGCTGGGGCTGCCCCTGCATCCCTGGCAGTGCCCAAGGCTGGGATGGACACTGGGGCTTGGAGCACCCTGGGATAGCGTCCCTGCCATGGCAGGGGCTGCAATACGATGGGTTTTGCTGTCCTTTCCCACCCACACCGTTGCACCATGGCGGCACTCTGCGCTTTCCCCTCAGGGCTCTCTGCCCCCTCACGCCTGCGCCACCAGGGGGAGCCCTCTGCTCCCGGTGACGTCACTCCAACCTCGGGGGGAGGAGCCGAGCGCAGCCAATGGGAGAGCGGAGAGCGCAGCGGGGGGGCGGGGCTTTCGCCGGCGCAAGGGCGGGGCCGACAGCCCCCGGGTTCGCGCGGCCGCTGGTGACGTCATCACGCCGGGGCTCTGCGGGCCCGCGGGGCGTGACCGCACCTGAGCGGGGCAATGGCCGAGAATTGCGTCCAAAAATCCCATCCAGCCCTGCCCTCTGGCAGTGGGAGCCATTCCCTGGCTCCTGTCCCTCCATCCTTGTCCCCAGTCCCTCTGCAGCTCTCCTGGAGCCCCTTCAGGCCCTGCCAGGGGCTCTGAGCTCTCCCTGGATCCTTCTCCTCTCCAGGTGAGCCCCCCCAGCTCTCCCAGCCTGGCTCCAGCCCTGGAGCAGCTCTGGGGTCTCCTCCGGGCTCTCTCAGCAGCTCCAGGTCCTCGTGCTGTTGGAATCCCCAGGGCTGGGGCAGCTCTGCGGGTGGGCTCTCAGCTGGGCACAGGGGCAGAGGAGCAGGATCCCCCTTTCCTGCTGGAGAATCAGCCCAGCATGCGAGAGGTTTCAGGGCCAGGGCACGTCCAGCCTCTCACCCACCAACAGCCCCGAGCTGCTGTCCCTGTGCTCATGCCCAGTCCGGGATGGATCCGAGGTTCTGTCCCGACCCAAGTGCAGCAAGCACCAGCACCTGGTCCCGTTAAACCCCACGAGATCCTCGCTGCCGGAGCTCGTCCCAGATCCCGGCAAAAACCGCACAGAAAACAAACGAACTCCGGGGCCGCGCGGTGACGTCACCCGCAACAGCCGCACCGCCCCCCCACGGTGACGTCACAGCGGCGTGCGCGCGCGCGCGCCCCCGCCGGGCCTGCGCCGTGCGTGAGGCGGGGGAGGCGGCGCGCGCAGCCTCGGCAGCGCCTCTGAGGAGCCGCCGCGAGCCCCGGGGGAGAACCGGGAAGGGCCGGCGAGAACCGGGGCCCATCGAGCCGAGCGGAGCCGGGCGGACCCGCGGGGTTATGAGGGCGGGCGCCGCCGCCTCCCCGTGAGGAGCCGCGGGCGCGGGGAGCGCGCGAGGCCGCCCCGCCACAGGAAGCCATTTTGTGGGCCCCCTCCTCCTCCTCCTCGCTCTCGTCCTCTTCCTCCTCCTCCTCGTCCTCCGCCGTCGCCGCCGCCCTCGGGAGCGGCCGGGCCCGGTGAAGGAGGCGGCGAGGAGGGGCGGCGGCGGCCGCCGCGCCCTCCCCCATGGCGAAGAAAACCTACGACCTGCTCTTCAAGCTGCTGCTGATCGGGGACTCGGGGGTCGGCAAGACCTGCGTCCTCTTCCGCTTCTCCGACGATGCCTTCAACACCACCTTCATCTCCACCATTGGTCAGTGCTTTTCCGCTCAAGGGGGGGGCTGCGGACCCCTCGGTTCCCACCGCCGTATTGCCCAGCTCCGTCCTTGTGTCACCCCCCGGGGACCCCCAGTGTTCAGCCCAGCCCCGTTATTGTGTCACCCCCCAGGGATCCCCTGTATTACCTTCATTTCCCCAGGGACCCCCTGTGTCCCTGTATCCCCCACCTGGACCACCCCGTGTCCCTCCAGGCCCTCCCCGTGTCACCCCCCCAGCCCCGTTGCTGTGTCCCGGTGCTGTCCCCCGGCAGAGCCGCCCCGGTGCCGCCCGACGCCGCCTCTCCCCCGCTGCAGGGCAGGGTGGCTTTGCTTCCTCCCTCCGCGCTGGGTGACCCTGAGCGACCCTCGCTGTCCCCCCCCGGGGGGGCTGCGCTGGCAGCTCGTCCCCCACGCCCTGTGGCAGCCTCCGGAGCCCACCTGGCCCCTTCCATCAGCGTTAATCCCCGTGGCCGCGGGCGGCGGCAGCGCGGTGGGATCCCCCCGGCCGTGTTTGCACCGCTATGGATGTGCCTCAGAAACCATCGCGCTCGTGGGTGGGGTCTCTTTTCTCACCCGACAAAGCTGTCCTTCCCCCCCCTCGGCAAAGCTGACTCCAGCCCTTCCTCGCAGAGCACCTCCTGACCGAGGTAGAGCTGCTGTGACATCATGAAAGGGGGATGTGTCTTTGCCTTTTCCGGGCAGTCTGTGCCACGGGACAGGCCTGGTACCCAAAATCTTTCCATCCCAGGGCTTCTTCGTTTGCCCTCTCCTGAACATCTTGTTTTGCAGATGAAGAGTTCAGGTCAGCAGCTTCTCACCTTCTTGGTGACTGGCTCTGAAAATTAAGGGTAATTCCTGTCTCAGCTTTCTTGCAGCACCCACTGGTGTAACACATGCAGATACACACATCTGGATAAAAAAGAAAAATATTTTGAGGGGTTTGAACTGGATCTGACTTTTGTGTTTCCTACAAATCCCTTAAATCACTGGAAATGCAGCTCAGAGAACGTGGAGTGTCAGTGTAGATCTTAGTGCTGGGTGTAAGTTCACCCCCATGTGCTTCCTCATCTGTGTTGAAACATCACCCACAAATTGCACCTCAGACTACAACATGCAAAAACACTCTCTTATGCAAGGCTTGGGAAACTTAAAGTGAAAAAAAAAATACCTTTGTGACAACTAAGTGTCAAGAAAATTATTTCCTAAAACCTCTCAAGGGCCTCAAGTTGACATTTTGCTGGATTTTTGGGGCACTGTGTGACAGTTAATGTTGTCCCTTCCCATGGCATACCCTGGCCCTGGGAGGCCACATGGGTTTGCTGCTGTGGCTGGGGTGTATTTTGGCACTGCTTGGCAGATCCTTGCTGGGATCACATGACATTCCTTGCCTTTGGAGTTCGTTGGGAAGGTTTATTTCAATTCTCAAAGTTAAAAATAGTCAACGTCATAGTTAAAAAGTCAGCGGGCACACAGTGGCTCCTGCTCCAGCAACTCGTGTTTTTAATAATTAGTAATTTAGTAATTAGTATTGGTTGCTGGTCTGATTGTGCAGTTTTGGGGCCTTCAAGAGGAGTTATCACCAAGTTGAGTAGGAAGCATGCACGTGCAGATTTTGGAAGTGTTTCCCACCAGTGGGACCAGTGGCTGTTTGTTTCTGGAGTGCCTAAATTGAAGGCAGAGGTGTTTCATTTGTGAATTCTGAACTGAATGTCTGATGATGTTAGCTGTGTACACCCTTTGGTTATATCAGGTTTGTGTCTTCACAGTGGAATTTGGCAGGTGTTGGGGTACAAATTGATTTTCTGTGTGGTGTTTAACTGCCTAAAGATGCCTTAGATGTGTTGTTTCCATAGTCCTTCTGTGAGCTGATGTGGAAACCTGGAGGGAAGTGTCCTGTGCAGACAATGTCACTTGAAAGGGAGACTCTCTGTTAGCACCTTGGGAAAAACAGCCCATCCCTGAAGGAAGAATCCAAACACCTGAGTTACCCAGGTCCACTCACTTCTCTCTGCATTGTTCCCAAGCAGTGCAGCAATCTGGCTGAAAATGGCATTTCACATTCCCCCTGGTGACAGCAGCTCTCACACTCGCCCAGGTTGGCCCTGCAGCAGCAGTGGCAATCCAGGAGCCTGGAAAGGGGCTTTCCTTGGGGGTCCCTGCTGTGGGGGGGCTTCAGCCCTCCTTGGTTTTGCAGCTGGAAGAGCAGAGTTTCGGGGAAAGCCTCCCGTGGAGTCTTTGACCTGTGGCAACAAGGAAACGTGGTTTCCAAAGCCCTGTGTACACAGTGGGTGACGGGAGGTGACTGGATCCTTGGCTGAGGCTCTCCTGTGTTTGAATAACCCCAGCAGCTCTGATCCCTGCCCTGGCTTTGCTCTGAGCTCAGCCAGCAGCCTGGGACACATGTAAAATGTCCTGGGGTGTTTGGTGGGGACTGTAGGCAGGGACTGGTTCGTGGAATCCTGGAATGGTTTGGGTGGGAAGGGACCTCAGAGCCCATCCAGTGCCACCCCTGCCATGGCAGGGACACTGCCACTGTCCCAGGCTGCTCCAAGCCCAGTGTCCAACCTGGACTTGGCACTGCCAGGCATCCAGGGGCAGCCACAGCTGCTCTGGGAATTCCATCCCAGCCCCTCCCCCCCCTGCCAGGGAACAATTCCCAATTCCCAAAATCCCATCCATCCCTGCCTTCTGGCAGTGGGATCCATTCCCTGGGCCCTGTGGGCACTGCCAGGGATCCAGGGGCAGCCACAGCTTCTCTGGGAATTCCATCCCAGCCTCTCCCCACCCTGCCAGGGAACAATTCCCAATTCCCAAAATCCCATCCATCCTTGCCCTCTGGCAGTGGGATCCATTCCCTGGGTCCCATGCCTCCATCCCTTGTCCCCAGCCCCTCTGAGCTCTTCTGTAGGTTCACTTCAAGCACTGGAAGGCTCAGTCTTTAGTTTGTAATGAAAATAAGCATCTCAAGGAATATTGAAACTGGCCTCTGTCTTGGGAGGATGCATGAGGAAAAGGTTTTAATTCTCTAACACCAAAGGCCTGTTTGTGAGGGAAGACACACTAACAGAGCATTTGCAAGGAATATTGAAACTGGCCTCTGTCTTGGGAGGATGCATGAGGAAAAGGTTTTAATTCTCTAACACCAAAGGCCTGTTTGCCTGTGTGAGGGAAGACACCCTAACAGAGCATTTCTGCTTCATGTCAGTAACTTCTATCACTTCACATTTCACCTTTGCACATTGGCTGATCCTGCTCCATGATGGCTGCTGGGAGATAACTTACTGTCCCTGTAATTCCACATACTCTCACTGTGACTTTGAGTCACTTCAATCTAATATTTCCTGCTAAAGCAGCAGTTAAGCTTCTGGATGTGCTGAGGTGCCAGCATGAGTGATTTCATTGCCCCTTCTCAGGCACTATAAATATTCCAGATGGCATTTCTGCAAGAAATCCCAGAGTCATGGTAACCTCCCTGGGGAGGGCAGGGCCTGGGCCTCCAGCCCTGCCCTGCTGTTTGCAGGTACAAAAGGAATAAATCTTGGAAGGCTTAGTCCATCACAAAGTATTTTAAATTTTAACTCTTCTTCAGCGATTTTTTTTTTCATAATTTTTATGATATTTGGTTTTGAGAGCTCTGGTGACTTCTCAGTTATGCTCTAAGGTGCTCATGGCTGGGTTAGTGGGTGGGTGCAGCTGCCCCTTTGGCACTGGTGGTGCTCCCCATTTTAGTGCTCTCCCTGCTGCCACCCCTGCTCCCAGCAGATTGTCTTTATTTTGAATGTTTAAAATGTTAGGATAAATAACTTCCAGGCAGCATATCCCTGAGATCTTATTTTTTTTAATATCTCTTTGTGGGTATTTGGCATGTCAGGTTGTTGATGGCTTGAAGTGAGTGCATAAAGGATCCACAGGAGCTGTGCCCACTTTGTGCAGCTCCTGGAGTCCAGCTTTGGCACCTGGGAACAGGTAGGGAGGGAGGCCCTTCTGGCCAGGATGGCTGCTGGAAGATTTGAATGCCAGAACTGAGCCTGAGCATGTAATCACTGTTGTCTGACTAAGTCCAATGCAAATGGAGATGAGTCACAAAAAATGCTTTCCCATGAAATCTAGTAAGAGCTCAGGAGAACAAAGGGTGTGTGAGTATTGGGAGATTCCCCCCCAGTGCTCCTGATGGAAGGTAAAACTTCCTTGGATCTTTATCCCTCCTGGAGGTGCAGCTGCATTTTGTGTTCCTGAGCTTTACTCACCTGGCTGCTTTACTCACCAGAGATAAAAGCCAGTGATTTTTGAGGTTTGTTTTATTTTGGACACAACCAAAGCTGTGCTAGGAGTGTGAAAAACTGTTATTTTAAATGTAAAAGTACATAAAGGATCCACAGGAGCTGTGCCCACTTTGTGCAGCTCCTGGAGTCCAGCTTTGGCACCTGGGAACAGGTAGGGAGGGAGGCCCTTCTGGCCAGGATGGCTGCTGGAAGATTTGAATGCCAGAACTGAGCCTGAGCATGTAATCACTGTTGTCTGACTAAGTCCAATGCAAATGGAGATGAGTCACAAAAAATGCTTTCCCATGAAATCTAGTAAGAGCTCAGGAGAACAAAGGGTGTGTGAGTATTGGGAGATTCCCCCCCAGTGCTCCTGATGGAAGGTAAAACTTCCTTGGATCTTTATCCCTCCTGGAGGTGCAGCTGCATTTTGTGTTCCTGAGCTTTACTCACCAGAGATAAAACCCTGTGATTTTTGAGGTTTGGTTTATTTTGGGCACAACCAAATCTGTGCTAGGAGTGTGAAAAACTGTTACTTTAAGTGTAAAAGTATAGGAAAACTGCTTGGATGAAATTACTATTTTTTCATTATTTCTTTTGCCTTTATTAGAAGGGGGTTGGATTTGGAACCACTTGCTTTGAAATTGCTTCCTATTGGCACATTGAAGCACTAATGTTTTTAAAAATTAGTCCTCAAGTAATAAATCCAAGTTTGTTTGTGCTTCCTGGGAGGATTTGCTCACTCAGGATTGTGATATATTAATGTCAGAAAGAAGGAGGGATCCCCAGGTAGATAATGGGGGAAAACTTGCCAGATTTGGGGAAACAAATGATGGTTTGAGTGGTGAAGATGCTGTTGCTGTGCAGGGGTTGCAATGAAGTTTGAAAAACAAGTCGTTTCAGGATTCAAATAAAGAAGGGAGTTGGAAGTACTGGCTTGCCTGTTCCCAGAAGTTGTGGCTGTCCCATCCCTGGCAGTGTTCAGGCCAGGTTGGACAGGACTTGGGGCATCATGGTCTAGTGGAAGATCTCTGCCCCTGGCAGGAGGTGAAATGGGATGAGCTTCAAGGTCCTTTCCAAGCCAAACCATTCCATAATTCCATCATTATATCCCTTTTTTTTTGTCCTGCCTACAGGAGCATCAGCAGCTGTGAGTTGTGTTCATGTTGTGCCCAGGCTGTGAGCTCAGTCTGCTTTTGACTCCTGGCATGGAGCAGGTGAATTAGACAGGGAAAAATCCCAATAAACCCTGGCCCAGCAAAGCCCCCTGATCCCAACTCCTGCTCAGTCATTTCCATGACCTGAACCCATCAGGCAGCAGGAGAGGCCAAAGTCATTTCCACCTGGAGGTGGCTGTGCTGCACAACTGGCACAAGGGGAATTTTGGAGGGGGAAAAGATGGGGTGGGTTCAGAATGAAAGTAGAAAATGGAAGTGAGTCTGTAGGTGGTCATTGGATGCAGTGCTCTGGATGCAGACTGGAGCTCGGGAATCCCCAGGGCTCAGGGCTGCTGGAGGTTGGACAAGCATTGTTTGGCCTGGAGGGGGGTTGTCCTCTCCTTTGTCTGCTGGGACACCCAGGGGAGGGGTTACAGAGCGAGCTGGGCTCGTGTGATACTGCACAAAAAGGGTGGTTTGCTTTTGGTTTTCTTTAGTAGGGTTTTTGGGGCTTTTGTGTGTGAGTGTTTGGGGATTTTTTTCTCATCTAGGGCAGTGAATAATGAGCAGCAGTTTTGCACACGCCTCACAGAGCTGATGAGAAGCTGGGGATGGCTGTGGTGAAGAGCTGAGGAACTGAGCTGGCTGGAAACTTCTTTGTGTAACGTGGCTGTTTTTTCAGCTGAGCTGGATCAGTTCCCTGATGGGGCTCCTTGCATTACCCTCCAAATCTGTGCTGGTGGAGTGATAGGGCAGAGGGGGACATGGAAACAGCAGAGGAGGTGGTGCTTGTACTCAGAATTCCAGGATCATTGAGGCTGGAAAAACCCTCCCACCTCATTGCCTCTCCTGGGGCTCCATTCCCTTCCCAGCTCCCTCAGCCTCTCCTGGGGCTCCATTCCCTTCCCAGCTCCCTCAGCCTCTCCTGGGGCTCCATTCCCTTCCCAGCTCCCTCAGCCTCTCCTGGGGCTCCATTCCCTTCCCAGCTCCCTCAGCCTCTCCTGGGGCTCCATTCCCTTCCCAGCTCCCTCAGCCTCTCCTGGGGCTCCATTCCCTTCCCAGCTCCCTCAGCCTCTCCTGGGGCTCCATTCCCTTCCCAGCTCCGTTCCCTGCCCTGGACACGCTCCAGCCCCTCCAGGTCTCTCCTGGCAGGAGGGGCCCAGAGCTGCCCCCAGCACTGGAGGTGCCCCAGCAGTGCCAGCACAGGGGACGGGCACTGCCCTGGGCCTGAGAAGTTCCCCATGAAAATTCACTTTCTGGTTGCAGTTCCACATTAACAGACCTGTTGGCTGCAGTTCCAGTGCCTGGCTTTCCCTCCTCCCTGCCCCAGTATGAACCAAACCCCAAACTGGGCTGGCTCTCTGCTGTTGCTGTCGGTGCCTCGGGCAGAGCCGGTCAGGGAAGGACAAGAACGCTGCGGAGCTGCTTCCTTGGGCTCAGTGCTGGCAGCCCTGCTGCTCCTCTGTCCTTGCTCTGACATGCTGGTGATTTGCAGCTGAAACTCAGCTCTCCAAATGTGCTGAGCACAATCAGGAGCCCTGCAGGCACGGGGGAAGGAGAGTGCCCAGGTTGGCTGCTCCAGTTAAACCAGCGATGTTTCCAGCAAGGACTGAGCTGTCACTTCAGCAGTGACAGGGATGAAGAGTTAGGAAGTCACTGATACTTTCTGGGGTAATGTGTGTGCACATTTGGAGCACAGGCTTCTTGTGACAGGCTGTATCATCTGTGGGCTGCTTGTGAATTTTCAGAGGCCAAACAAAATGTCTCTTGGTGTTGCTAGAAACTTGTTCATGAATGCCTAAGCAGGAACACAGCCTTTGTTTTAAGTAGCCAGTGATTAGTTTTTAGTGCCTTGTTGAGTGATAAACACAACTGGGAGGTGCACAGAAGTGATTTCCTCTTGACTCCTTGGTTTATGTCTTTTGAAAGAAAATCTGTTATGCTCTTGCAGAAGATTTTCTTCCCTATGAGGGTGGGCAGGCCCTGGCACAGGTTGTCCAGAGAAGCTGTGGCTGCCCCTGCATCCCTGGAGCTGTCCAAGGACCCTGG